TATATATACACACACCTAATAAAGGAGTAAGAAGAGAGAGATGGTAATGAAGTGTGCAGGAGGGAGAGGTGAGATGACACCAGACTGGTTTCAGTGATGATAGACAGGTGAAGTCAGGCAGGAGTGACTGATGTTTCCAGATGACACTGTGATCTATGGTGGGAGCAGGGAGCAGGTGGAACAGAGTCTGGAGAGGTGAATATGTGCTGTAGAGAGAAGAAGAGGGAAAGTAAGACCGAGTCTGTAGGTGTGACAGCAACAGAGACACAGTTAGCACTTTCACAAAAAAAACTGATCAAAATGGGAGTAAAAACCAGTCCGTCGTTAACCAGATTTTGACCATTCACAAATCACGTATTGAGCCGAACTTGTGATCTATAATGAAAGCAGGGAATCCCACATACTGTAGACATGAGTGTTCAGAATGTCAGTATCTGTTGGGAAAGCATTACAGGTATGAAATAGATCACAGATGAATTGACATGAAGCATAAAACAAGGGACAGATGTCTTCCTCAGACTAGTTTCAAAACAAAACAAATTGACATAGTCTGGAGATTATCTTTGTGGTTAATCCACTCTTAAAGCGAATGCAAAGTTGCTGAGTCATCAATAATCATCTAGTTAATGAATCTGTTTACTGTTGTTTAGGCTTTTAAAATCTGTGCATTTTACATTTTCATGTCAACTTTTAAGGCTCTATTAGGGCCTCGGTTGGTGACAAAATGGCAAAATAGTTTCAACGCTGTAATGGTCCATTCAGAAACCATGCAGAGACTTCCAAGAAGGAGCCTCAGTCCTTGCTTTCATGAAAATGTTTAGTGAAGCTTCATGAAGTTAAAAAATACCTGAGTTCAACCATCCAAAACAAGGAGCTGAACACAGGAGGTGAAGTGAAGGTGAAACTGTGACAGAAGAAAAGCTGCAGGAGTCACAGGGAAGGTTTGGTTTGAAGACAAGAAAGCAGGAGGAGGAGGAGCTGGTGGTGGCAGAAATAAAGATGTTCAGATCGTCACTGGGAGGGACTAAAGTGGACAGGGGTGGAAATGAGGGACAGCTCAAGTTTGAAGACAGAGCTGAGATCTAGATATTTTGAACAGGCTGCCAGGAAGGAGAAGAGGAAGACCTCAGAGAAAGAGGCTCTGCAGAGGGCTGGTGTGGCAGAGGAGGAGTAGAAGGCAGGTGATCCACAGTGAAAACCCCTAAAAGGAACAGCTGAAAGAAAAATATATGCTTCTGAGTGTGCACCTGACATTTCAACCATTTATGGATCAATGTAGTTTGAATATTTGTCTGAATTTGAATTCTAATGTTAATTTAACAATTCAATATTGGATGCTTTTTGCCACGTTTATTTAGTTTTTCATAAAACACTCCTTTTTAAATTGATTTAAGAAACTAACATTAGATGATAGTCTAAACTACAAAATCAAACAGTTTTACAGTCTATGAAAGAAACTTACAAAAATAATTTTTCTACACTAATTTTGCAGCATCTAAATAGATAATTGTTGATAAGATGCTAAAATAGAAATATTAGAGTTTAATGAAGGGAGTTAGCCCCCCAACAGGTTGTCTGCTTCAGTCCTACTGTACAAGCCTTGTACTGGAGTATTTTCTCACCTCTGGACAGCCTGTAATTACATCTGAATGTAATTATTAGGTTTAGTTTGTTTGCCCACACTCACACTGACGATCATTATTGGCCTTGTTTCTCTTAAATTCTCTCATTAGAGCAAATGGAATTAATCAAATAAACAAACACTCCCTCTCTTTCTGTCTTCCTCTGCTGTCTTTGCTTTCTGTTTCAGCCTCATTTCATTTTTGCTTTTCCTCACCCCTCACCCTCACTCCCCCTCACCCCCCTCTCTCTCTCTCTCTCTCTCGCTCTCTCTCTCTCCTCAAACATCTTGCTTACAGCATCTGTCACTGACCTAAGCATTATGTGCGAATACATCAGTAGCCTTCGACCCCCCTCACCCCCCTCTCTCTCTCTACACACACACAGACACACACACACTCACACACGTTTCCTCGTAAGTGAAGCTCTGTGCCCTCCTCCCNCTCTCTCTCTCTCTCTCTCTCTCTCTCTCTCTCTCTCCCTCTCTCTGAAGGCACCAGACCCTTTATGGTTACACTAAACCATCTGAAACATACATGCATGTGATATATATGAATTACAAACATTTTTATGCAGCAGACAATGGATGTATGTTTTAGTTTGTGATGCTGTGTATATTTGCATGAGTAGATGCTAATGATGCTAACATTAAGGACAGCTAATGCTAACAGTAAGTACAGCTAACAATGCTAACAATAAAAACAGCTAATGATAGACAACTAGGAGATAAGTTTGTTCATTTCTATAAACTTTTTGTGTAGAAGTTTTTTTTTTTTTTTTTTTTAGTAAAAACGAACTAGTTAGTTAAACTTTAGAAAAGTATTGATGCATCTCTTGTACTTGGCCGTCCCTGACTCTGGCTGTCTTCTTGTCCTGCAGGGCATCTCTGTGGAGCTCTTGCGTGGTTTTGCCGCTCTTGGCCCTGACGTGGATGTCTGCTGTTCTGGCTATCACCGATCGGCGATCTGCACTCTTTCAGATCCTTTTTGCTGTATTTGATTCATTGGAGGGCTTCGTTATCGTGATGGTTCACTGCATTCTGCGCAGAGAGGTATTTTAAAAACACTTTGTTTTGTTTTATTTGAACTTTGGGCAGTTTTGGACCATTCTATACAACCAAAACTGTTGTTGCAGTAGACTTATAATCAAGACATAGGAGTCAAGAGTTGACAGCCAGCATAAGGGAATTATTGAAGTACGTAATTCACAGTCAGAATAGAGAACCCCCTCTCTCAGGGACCTACCGATTTTTATTCTTCTCTTCGTATGTCATCTGACCAGTGACTGCCAGAAAACACTTCTTAGAAAACATTTCTGCTAGGTCACTTCAACCTTTTGGCAACTCCAAGTTCTTTCCTGGAAACCCCATGAGACTGCCTTCCCCAACTTTTGCATGCAGACCTCGCTTCCCTTCTGTTAAACATCTCATCCCAGGCAATGCACACACATTTCAACTGCCTTTTTAAACTCAGTGTTCTAACTTGCAAAATACAGGCTTGTTTTTGACATGCACTATTTGGCAGAACTTCCTGGACTGAAGATGTAGGGGGAAATGACCTGCTGGTCTAAAAAGAGTAATTATTCTGTACTGCATGAACCTGGCTGATGCCACTTCAATAGGAAATTAAATTTCTTCCAAACATCTGAACGTCGGATATTTATCACAGGACAAATAAAAGTATTTTGGAGTCACTTGTTATTGATGAAATTTATTCTTTGTCCACACAAAACTTTTTTGAAAATAATTACCATTTTTTTCAGCACATGAAAACATATGACGTCAATTTAAAACATTGTAGTTGTCAGAAACACACTGTAGCAAAAGGATTTTTTTTGCTCAGCCATTGAAGTACATCAACAACCCCAAGTCCAACAATAACACTAACAACACCAAGAAGAAGGACAGGAGATTGCTCATAAAGCTCACACAAACCTAAAAAGAAGACAAAAAGATGAAAATAAAGTGTAACTCAGTAACTCATGCTCTGCGTCCTATAAGACGACAAGACTAGAAAAATGGACTTAATGAAAATTTTCAGGTCCAGTATCCAGTGAGGAGCAGATGGACAAAAAATGTCTTCCTATTTTTATATACCATTATTTAACCACGCAAGTCCCATTGAGATCGCATATCTCTTTTTCAAGGGAGGCCTGGGCATGAAGGCAACCTATTTTGCATGTTTTTGGGGGTGGGGGAAACTGGAGTACCCTGAGGAAACCCACACAAGCATGAGGAGAACATGCAAACTTCGCACAGAAAGATCCCAGATCCGAACCGTGGATCAAACCTAGGACCTTCTTGCTGTGAGGCGTCAGTGCTAACCACTGTTGTTCTGGGGGGTTAAATAAAGACTTTTTTAAAAATTCAGTGTTACAGTATTATGTCAACATTCAAGATACATGTGCAACTAAATGTGATTAAACCAAAATAAAAATTTAACTAATAAAACACTTCAAGGCTGTTGCCGACCTCTGTTCTATGGAAAATCTCCTTGCAACACTTAAATTTTGTTTTGTGTGGTTTGCTTTCATCAGTGACAAATGCTAAATCCTCTTTTATAACAGGACGGTCTGCAGCCCCTTTGCAAACATCCTTCGAGTCAACCATGTCTGCCTTTTAGTGACGATCTCTGAAAGTAAATACAACCGAGTAACTTCTGGAGTCAACCTGGTTTAAGATGGTCATAGCTGAACAGCCTTATCACACACTAAAAAGGCAACAAATTTTCCATTGTGACAAACATTGAGCTTAAGTTGATGTGATAGTAAATGAACCATTCCAACAATTACTCTGAATGCTAATACAGTGGAGATCTCGTAAGATTTCTGTCTAAAACTCTTGATGCCAGGCAGCTGGCATTAGCCACCCCTTCAGTATTTGCTAGTTTAAACAAAGCCCCATGGTCCCTTCAAAAAATTCACATCACTCACCAGCAAAAATGACAAGCTTTAAATTAGGATGATCCTTTGTTAACCAGCGTTGGGTAAGATTTTGCACAATCTCATAATTAACCTCACAACTTTTTACTACAACTAATCACGAAACTTTTCTCTGTAACTGATTAGTGCATCTTTTCAACTTGTCACATGTTAAACTGCTGAATTATCTATATGAAAGTCCTACATTTACATATTTTGTGTGTGTGAAAGTGTGTAAATGTGTGTTTTGTTGTAAATTTTAAGTTAAATATGAATTAATATTTTTGAATATGGTGAGTGATTTTTTTCACAAAATGTTTCTTTGTCAAGACAACAAATGTTTCATACAGATCTAACATTTTTAGATGCTTTATTTTACATTTCTGATGGCCATTCAAGTCCAAAGTAAAACAAATGTTTCAGTCCACCAGAAAATCTACCAAAAGAAGGGCTTTTATCCAGATTTGACACGCTGATGTCTTTTCAAACTTCCCGACTCAGTGAATCTCTTCTCACACTGGGTACAGGCGTAAGGCTTCTCTCCAGGGTGGACACGCTGATGATTTTTCAAACTTCCTGACCAGTTGAATCTCTTCTCACACTGGGTACAGGCATAAAGCTTCTCTCCACTGTAGACACGCTGATGTTTATTCAAATTTCCTGACTTTGTGAATCTCTTCTCACACTGGGTACAGTCGTAAGGCTTCTCTCCAGTGTGGACACAGTGATGTTTGTTGAAATTTCCTGACAGATTGAATCTCTTCTCACACTGGGTACAGGCATAAAGCTTCTCTCCAGTGTGGACACGCTGATGTSTTTTCAAACTTCCTGACCAGTTGAATCTCTTCTCACACTGGGTACAGGCATAAAGCTTCTCTCCASTGTRGACACGCTGATGTTTATTCAAATTTCCTGACTTTGTGAATCTCTTCTCACACTGGGTACAGTCGTAAGGCTTCTCTCCAGTGTGGACACGCTGATGTTTATTGAAATTTACTGACAGGCTGAACCTCTTCTCACAATGGGTACAGGCGTAAGGCTTCTCTTCAGTGTGGACATGAAGGTGTACCTTCAGATGGCTTGGACTGAGGAATCACTTCTCATACTGGATACAGATGAACTTTTTTCACCAGTGTGCTTGGGTTTATGTAGTTCTGAGACTCCAACACATTCTTCACTCTGGTTGCTGTAGTCAGGTTTAACTGGAGTTTTGATAGACTCAGCCAGTGGCTCCTGGACAAAACCATCTCCACTGGGGTCTTCAGGTTCTTCTTTGACTGTACAAGTCTTTTTCATTGGCACACATGCAAAAAAAGTGGTGAAAATCAGGTTCAGAAATCCAAAAACACAACTGCTTCCTAAAGGAAAATGTAACTTAACCAAAAGCCCCATTTACTTTTTTTCAATTAGCATAAGGCTCAAATGTAAAAACAAATGCTTTGTTTCTTTGAAGTAAAAGCTCAGAAATATCACACACTTTAGGCTGTCATCATGATAAGACTTTTTTTTTGAATGCCAGAAATTCAAGTTTCTAAAATTTTTTATCATGTGTTTTGAATGCATTTTCTATTACCTAGCAACCAGTATACATTTTCCTCAGGGTAGCTAAAACCTGTGCTGACTTACTGCTGGTGTTAAAGGTGACATTATGGTGCTGTTCTTCAGATCCATGAGCTTCAGAAAACTTCTCCAGTTTTCTGAATCAGCTCTGACAAAAAAGGAGTGTCATGAATCACAGCTACAATAAAAACACCAGAGTACAGAAAAATCAAGTTGAAGCATATTCTAACTAAGAAAATGTAAAAAAAATAGACACAGACTATTTACAGACTATATCAGTATCTCTTCAATTAAAACCTTTCTTTGATTATAAAACAATTGTGTGAACTAAACAAAAGTCGAATAGTTAAAGAAAAGTTATGGAAAAACAGTTTTACTTACTGTGTGAGTCAAACTTGCTCCTACAGGTTCAGAGGTGTTTTGAAACAGGGGCGCAGATAGGATTTTTGAACTGGGGGGGACCAAGTTTTCAGCAAATGATTTCCATCTAAGTAATTTTTAGTAATTTGATTA